TGTTTCTGTCTCGTGCGGGAATCGAACCCGCGCCACAGAATTACGAGTCCTGCGCGCTATCCACCAGGCTACGAGGCCCCTCGATACATATTGTTCCAGTAGAATTCCTGGTTGCACTTCTTAAACCATGTCGTAGCTCAGTCGATTAAGGCAGCGTCTGAGATGCTCTCGGACGCAGGTTCGAATCCTCGTCACGGCCCCTTGTGGATTTGTTGAGTAGATATTGTTGCTCGAGTCATATATGTAACACGTATATGCTTCCAACCTTGAAGTTGACACTGTTCTCCAGTCATATGTGCGGGACACCTGTTTATCATTGTTTTGTTCTGTTTCTGTCGTGTTTATCATTGTTTTGTTCTGTTTCTGTCGTGTTTCTTGTTGATTTGATCTGTTTCTGTCGTGTTTTTTTGTTGATTTGTTCTGTTTCTGTCGTGTTTTTTTGTTGTTTTGATCTGTTTCTGTCGTGTTTATCATTGTTTTGTTCTGTTTCTGTCGTGTTTCTTGTTGTTTTGTTCTGTTTCTGTCGTGTTTTTTGTTGATTTGTTCTGTTTCTGTCGTGTTTCTTGTTGTTTTGTTCTGTTTCTGTCGTGTTTTTTTTGTTGATTTGTTCTGTTTCTGTCGTGTTTTTTTGTTGTTTTGATCTGTTTCTGTCGTGTTTATCATTGTTTTGTTCTGTTTCTGTCGTGTTTCTTGTTGTTTTGTTCTGTTTCTGTCGTGTTTTTTGTTGATTTGTTCTGTTTCTGTCGTGTTTTTTGTTGATTTGTTCTGTTTCTGTCGTGTTTTTTGTTGTTTTGATCTGTTTCTGTCGTGTTATCATTGTTTTGTTCTGTTTCTGTCGTGTTTCTTGTTGTTTTGTTCTGTTTCTGTCGTGTTTTTTTGTTGATTTGTTCTGTTTCTGTCGTGTTTTTTGTTGATTTGTTCTGTTTCTGTCGTGTTTTTTGTTGTTTTGATCTGTTTCTGTTTCTGTCGTGTTTTTTGTTGATTTGTTCTGTTTCTGTCGTGTTTTTTGTTGTTTGTTGTGTCTGTTTGTGTCGTGTTTCTTGTTGTTTTGATCTGTTTGTCGTGTTTCTTGTTGATTTGATCTGTTTCTGTCGTGTTTTTTGTTGTTTTGATCTGTTTCTGTCGTGTTTCTTGTTGTTTTGTTCTGTTTGTCGTGTTTCTTGTTGATTTGTTCTGTTTCTGTCGTGTTTCTTGTTGATTTGATCTGTTTGTCGTGTTTCTTGTTGTTTTGATCTGTTTCTGTCGTGTTTTTTGTTGTTTGATCTGTTTCTGTCGTTTCTTGTTGTTTTTGATCTGTTGATTTGATCTGTTTCTGTCGTGTTTTTGTTGTTTTGATCTGTTTTTGTCGTTTCTTGTTGTTTTGATCTGTTTCTGTCGTGTTTCTTGTTGATTTGTTCTGTTTCTGTCGTGTTTTTTGTTGTTTTGATCTGTTTGTCGTGTTTCTTGTTGTTTTGTTCTGTTTCTGTCGTGTTTTTTGTTGATTTGATCTGTTTGTCGTGTTTCTTGTTGTTTTTGTTCTGTTTCTGTCGTGTTTTTTTTTGTTGATTTGATCTGTTTCTGTCGTGTTTTTTGTTGTTTTGATCTGTTTCTGTCGTGTTTTTTGTTGTTTTGATCTGTTTCTTGTTGTTTTGATCTGTTTCTGTCGTTTCTTGTTGTTTTGATCTGTTGATTGATCTGTTTCTGTCGTGTTTTTGTTGTTTTGATCTGTTTTTGTCGTTTCTTGTTGTTTTGATCTGTTTCTGTCGTGTTTCTTGTTGATTTGTTCTGTTTCTGTCGTGTTTCTTGTTTTGTTCTGTTTCTGTCGGGTTTCTTGTTGTTTTGATCTGTTTCTGTCGTGTTTCTTGTTGTTTTGATCTGTTTCTGTCGTGTTTCTTGTTGATTTGTTCTGTTTCTGTCGTGTTTCTTGTTGTTTTGTTCTGTTTCTGTCGTGTTTCTTGTTGATTTGTTCTGTTTCTGTCGTGTTTCTTGTTGTTTTGATCTGTTTCTGTCGTGTTTATCATTGTTTTGTTCTGTTTCTGTCGTGTTTCTTGTTGATTTGTTCTGTTTCTGTCGTGTTTCTTGTTGTTTTGATCTGTTTCTGTCGTGTTTCTTGTTGATTTGTTCTGTTTCTGTCGTCGTGTTTCTTGTTGTTTTGATCTGGTTTCTGTCGTGTTTCTTGTTGTTTTGATCTGTTTCTGTCGTGTTTCTTGTTGTTTTGATCTGTTTCTGTCGTGTTTCTTGTTGTTTTGATCTGTTTCTGTCGTGTTTATCATTGTTTTGTTCTGTTCCTGTCGTGTTTCCACGACAGGAAAACAACGGCAATAACTTTTGCAACATTATTGCAAAAGCCCGAGTTGGTGTTGATGCTCCATGCTTCAGAGTAGATGCTCAATATATAATTGAGCATATATATAATCAACCGTAGTTGTGGTTGTGGGGGGTGAGCTCTGGCTCTTTGGTCCCGCCTCTCAACTGTCAACTCAACACCCACTCTGTGTGTGTGTGTGGTGTGTGTGTGTGTGTGTGTGTGGTGTGTGTGTGTGTGTGTGTAAGAAGGAGGGGGGGGGTGTTTATGGGGTTATGAATGTCTGTAGAAGCCGCTGAATGGGATGGAATATGGAAGGGGGAGGGTGTGTGTGAGGGGTGAGTAACTAGCAAGAAGTTGAAGGGGTTGAGGGTGTGGGAAGAGGAGAGGGGTGGTGAGTCATGCCAGGTATTCAACCCCACCCCCACCCACCCCCTCTCTATATATCCTGGTCAGTGTTGTGTGGTGGGATGACCTAGCCTGCCCTGTGTGGTGTGTGTGTGTGTGTGTGTGTGTGTGTGTGTGTGTGTGTGTGTGTGTGTGTGTGTGTGTGTGTGTGTGTTCACCTAGTTGTGTTTGTGACACACACACACACACACACACAGACTAGGTTTGCCACCAGACTAGTACCCGAGCTGAGAGGTATGAGCTACGAGGAGAGACTACGGGAATTAAACCTCACTTCGCTGGAAGACAGAAGAGTTAGGGGGGACATGATCACCACATTCAAGATTCTGAAGGGAATTGATAGGGTAGATAAAGACAGTCTATTTAACACAAGGGGAACACGCACAAGGGGACACAGGTGGAAACTGAGTGCCCAAATGAGCCACAGAGATATTAGAAAACTTGTTTAGTGTCAGAGTGGTTGACAAATGGAATGCATTAGGCAGTGATGTGGTGGAGGCTGACTCCATACACAGTTTCAAGTGTAGATATGATAGAGCCCAGTAGGCTCAGGAATCTGTACACCTGTTGAGTTGACGGTTGAGAGGCGGGACCAAAGAGCCAGAGCTCAACCCCCGCAAGCACAACTAGGTGAGTACTAGGTGAGTACACACCCCTGTGGGGCGTTTATCGGGTGCGGGGGACATTGACGCGGGCCCACGCAAGCGGTGGTGGGTTGTAGTGTGTAGTGTACAACCGCTACTGTCCATGTGGAGATGGTGTTGGGGAAGACTGGGGAGCCGTTGGAAGGTTAATGGCTCCCGCCACCCCACCACCCGCCCTCAGGAAAGCCCAGAGAGCTCGCTGCCTCCACAGATGCTGCTCACTCGTTGGTTATTCTCCCCGTGGTACTCCTGTAACGGGAGGCTGGCTGGCTGGCCCGCGCCTCCATCTCTCTCTCTCCTCTCACACACCCAGTCGTATCTCCTTTCTCACACCCAGTCTTATCTCCTCTCTCTCTCACACCCAGTCTTATCTCCTCTCACACACCTAGTCTTATCTCCTCTCACACCCTCTTATCTCTCTCTCCTCTCACCCTCTCTCTCTCACCTCCCTACTTCTGTTCCACCCTTGCCCCTTTCACACTCTCTCGCCCTTCTCTGTCTTCTTTCACCCGTCCCTGCCCCCCTCTTCCCCCCTTTCTCTTCACTCACACGTCTCCTAACATTCCTTGCTCTATTATCTATTCCCTCTGTCCTCTGTCGCTAGTTCTCACGCGTTCCTCTCTCTCCCCGTCTCTCACCCCCCCCCTTCCCGTCCAACCACTTGGGATGGACGGTAGAGCGACGGTCTCGCTTCATGCAGATCGGCGTTCAATCCCCGACCGTCCATAAGTGGTTGGGCATAATTCCTTGCCCTCCGTCCCATCCCAGATCCATATCCTGACCCATTCCAAGTGCTATATAGTCGTAATGGCTTGGCGCTTTCCCCCTGATAATTCCCTTCCCTTCACCCCTCCCCTCATACTCCTCTTGTGCTGGCTAATTAGAGGAATTTTTGAGAATCATTCTATGGCTTTTGACTTCAAAATTCTATATTTTAAAAAAAGTAATGGAGGCAATGGCGTTCTGTGTTTTATTATTTATTTTGTCTGTTATTTAGCTGGTGGGAGCCGGTCGGCCGAGCGGACAGCACGCTGGACTTGTGATCCTGTGGTCCTGGGTTCGATCCCAGGCGCCGGCGAGAAACAATGGGCAGAGTTTCTTTCACCCTATACTCCTGTTACCTAGCAGTAAAATAGGTACCTGGGTGTTAGTCAGCTGTCACGGGCTGCTTCCTGGGGGTGGAGGCCTGGTCGAGGACCGGGCCGCAGGGACACGAAGGCCCGAAATCATCTCAAGATAACCTCAAAATTTACCCTAAGCAAGCATATTGCTGGGTTACGTCTTGAACTCCTGTTCTTGTTGTTCAAGATTCGCTACTTGGAACCAAAAGTTCCAAGTAGCACGGGCTATGGTGAGCCCGATGTCTTGAGCTCCATTGATGAAAATGGTACGTTGATGAGAGTAGAGAAACTGAGGTATAGTGGCGGGGGTTGAGTAGTGCCGTGTGGGGACTAGTCAGCGGTTGCCGGATGGCCGGTTTGTTGCTGCATTTATTGGTGGTACGGCCGGCCGTGTCGAGGTGTCCCCAACACTTGGGGAAGAGGAGGTGGTGGTGGGAGCAGCGGCGGTGAGAGTGAGGCCACAGGGGGAGTGCAGTGAGGATTGTGAGTGAGGATTGTAGGGCCTGGCCTGCGGCTGTGAGCAGCCTGGCCGCCGCCGCCGTACTTACCTGTAGCCGCCACTCCAGTCTCAGTTGGTACGGAGACCGCAGGTGTGACGGTCCTCACGCGAGTGCGCGAGTGTGTGTGTGTGTGTGTCTTTCCAGCACTGGCTGCTAGTGTGTGTCCTCAGAGTGCGCTGGATGCAGCTGCGAGTGTTATGATCGGAGGAGTCCTACCGGCTGGTATTTCCAGAAGGGATTGTGGTATTTCCAGAAGGGACTGTACCATGTAAGGCGGCCTGATGCCTAGTCGCGGGTTCTTCTCACGGGCGGTGCACTCTAGCAGCTCTGTGAAGCCTGGACCCGCGTCCCTGCCGTCCGTGCCCCATCCTGTCTATCCGGGTCCCTCGCCTCACATCAAGAATGGCGGGTGGTGGGGCGTACCGCCCTGGCTTCAGAGGGGTAACAAGGGCCTCGCCAGACACAATTCCGGCCCTATACCTCAGGTGTCGCCCTCGGGGCCCTCGTCGTTGCCAGGCACGGTGCCTGGCACCCTCCCTGGCACCTTGCCTGCCAGCCTGCAAGCGCCTCATTCTGGCATTCACACAAGCACGCTTCCTGGTCGAACCAGTCATCACCCCTACTACCATCACCACCCTCAATACCTGGAACAGAAACAGCAGATTAATCTCGAGCAAAAACGGTCCCATAAAGTTGATCAGAAAAAGTATCACAGTGAGCAGAAGAAGCAGCAGCTGAAACAGCAACAGCAGCTACAGCTACAGCAGCAGCAGCAGCTACAGCAGCAGCAGCAGCTAGCTGCTTCTCGTGCGCCCTCTGTATTGGGGTCTCGCCCATCTTCTGTGTTAGGGATACGACCGTCATCTATGATGGAATATATGCCGTCAACGGTGATGGAGAGACTGCCTGCGCCTGTGTTGGAACCTGCGTCATCATCCGTGCTGGGGTCCCGGCCATCATCCGTGCTGGGGTCCCGGCCATCATCCGTGCTGGGGTCCCGGCCATCATCCGTGCTAGGATCCCGGCCATCATCCGTGCTGGGATCCCGGCCATCATCATCTTCCTCGTGCTCCATTTCGGCGTCCCGGTCATCATCCGTGCTGGGGTCAGAGGCACCATCATCCGCCACGAGGGCTCGACCCCACACACCTCATGACCCCATTTTAACGAATGGGTGCACCAAAGGCCCCCTCCAGACGTCGCCTCCCGCCTGGCCAGGGCTCCTCCACCGCGACGCTGACGAAGACATCGCCGAGAAACAGCAGTTCATTTGTCAAGAGCCAAACCATGTCGACACCCCAGCCCACCCCAGGCAGCGCCAGGAGCAGCAGCAACAACTTGGAAATAATGAACAACTTGGAAATAATATTTCCCTACACCAGCTGGTAAGTTTGAGAGGTTGAACCGCGCGCGTGTGTGTGTGTGTGTGTGTGTGTGTGTGTGTGTGTGTGTGTGTGTGTGTGTGTGTGTGTGTGTGTGTGTGTGTGTGTGTGTGTGTGGTGTGTGTGGTGTGTGTGTGTGTGTGTGTGTGTGTGTAATCAGGCTGAGAGCTACGCTCGTCTTCCAAGTACTCTTTGTCGTACCGAGTACGACCAAGTTTGTAGTCGTATATACTCTTTGTCGTATAACACTTTGAAACATCATATATAACGCTTTGCAACTAATGTGTGTCTGCCTCTGTCTGCCTCTGTCTGCCTCTGTCTGCCTCTGTCTGTCTCTGTCTGTCTTGTCTGTCTTGTCTGTCTTGTCTGTCTTGTCTGTCTTGTCTGTCTTGTCTGTCTTGTCTGTCTTGTCTGTCTTGTCTTGTCTTGTCTTGTCTTGTCTTGTCTTGTCTTGTCTGTCTGTCTGGTCTGTCTTGTCTTGTCTGTCTGTCTGTCTGGTCTGTCTTGTCTTGTCTGTCTTGTCTGTCTTGTCTGTCTGTCTGCGTGCGTGCGTGCGTGCGTGAGAGCTTGGACTTTCACCGTCAGGAGCCCCAGGTTATAATAGGCGTATGACTCGGCCACCCAAAAAACAAAATGCTACACTTTCAACACTAAATGAACTACCAGTGTTTCCATGTGGATGGTTTGTTGACCTCAACACCGCTCCGCACACTCTTACATTGTGCTGTATGGGTTCCTGAACTGGCGAATGTATCGTATTGTTATAAAATAATATTCAAACATTGATGATAATGAAGAAATCCACAAGGGTCGTGACGAGGGTTTGAATCTACGTAGATTAGCTCAGTCGATTAAGGCAGCGTCTGGGATCCTCCCGGACACAGGTTCGAATCCTCGTCACGGCCCTTGTGGATTTGCTCATTTGATGCATCACGCTATTGTGATTTCTGTGTGTAATTAATGATAATGCCCTTAACTAATTTTTTTAAAGACCGCAGCGAACATGAAATAGATTTGAATCGCCTCTCAATACATAATGATTCTATTACCACGGCTAAGCTATGCGTAGCACGCTAAATCTATTTAGCATTGAAAAGTACACCGACAATCTATCGGAGTTGATTTACCACTGACGGCCTACGGCATTCCTACAAAGTCACTATAGTTATGGATTTTAATAGACTTTTCTCGGTGATATTTAGTACAATATTGACTTAGGAAGAATGAGTTAGTTGACGAGGAAACTGCTATTGCTGACCGAGCTTGGAGTGGAGGGAGGATCTATCTTGAGGTTATCTTGAGATGATTTCGGGGCTTTTTAGTGTCCCCGCGGCCCGGTCCTCGACCAGGCCTCCACATCCAGGAAGCAGCCCGTGACAGCTGACTAACACCCTGGTACCTATTTTACTGCTAGGTAACAGGGGGCATAGGGTGAAAGAAACTCTGCCCATTGTTTCTCGCCGGCGCCTGGGATCGAACCCAGGACCACAGGATCACAAGTCCAGCGTGCTGTCCGCTCGACCGGCCGGGATGGGGATTATTTTCAATACCAAGAGATGTGTTGGTATTGAACTTGAAACCAAGGCGTTGGTGAGTCGGTCTAGTCAGACGGGTCGGGTCGGGTGGCAGCCTGTGGTAGTCGGACGGGTCGGGTGGAGGCTTGCGGATAGTCGGTCTTTTTGTTGTATATTTTTTCATATATTTATTGAAAGTGATTTTCAAGTGGGTTTGTGGGGGGAAACAGTACTGATTTGTGCATGTAAATGTTAGATATATTATATTGATTGTTGCTGCCAGAGGCTGCCAGGTTATTGTGCACTCTGTACTCATCTTGTGCAACCTGTCTTCATCTTGTGCAACCTGTCTTCATCTTGTGCAACCTGTGCTCATCCTGTGCAATCTGTCCTCATTCTGTGCAATCTGTCCTCATCCTGTGCAATCTGTCCTCATCCTGTGCAATCTGTCCTCATCCTGTGCAATCTGTCCTCATCCTGTGCAATCTGTCCTCATCCTGTGCAATCTGTCCTCATTCTGTGCAATCTGTCCTCATTCTGTGCAATCTGTCCTCATTCTGTGCAATCTGTCCTCATCCTGTGCAATCTGTCCTCATCCTGTGCAATCTGTCCTCATCCTGTGCAATCTGTCCTCATCCTGTGCAATCTGTCCTCATTCTGTGCAATCTGTCCTCATTCTGTGCAATCTGTCCTCATCCTGTGCAATCTGTCCTCATTCTGTGCAATCTGTCCTCATCCTGTGCAATCTGTCCTCATCCTGTGCAATCTGTCCTCATCCTGTGCAATCTGTCCTCATCCTGTGCAATCTGTCCTCATCCTGTGCAATCTGTCCTCATTCTGTGCAACCTGTCCTCATCCTGTGCAACCTGTCCTCATCCTGTGCAACCTGTCTTCATCCTGTGCAATCTGTCCTCATCCTGTGCAACCTGTCCTCATCCTGTGCAATCTGTCCTCATCCTGTGCAATCTGTCCTCATTCTGTGCAACCTGTCCTCATCCTGTGCAATCTGTCCTCATTCTGTGCAATCTGTCCTCATCCTGTGCAACCTGTCCTCATCCTGTGCAATCTGTCCTCATCCTGTGCAATCTGTCCTCATTCTGTGCAACCTGTCCTCATCCTGTGCAATCTGTCCTCATTCTGTGCAATCTGTCCTCATCCTGTGCAACCTGTCCTCATCCTGTGCAACCTGTCCTCATTCTGTGCAACCTGTCTTCATCTTGTGCAACCTGTCCTCATTCTGTGCAACCTGTCTTCATCTTGTGCAAGCTGTCCTCATTCTGTGCAAGCTGTCCTCATCCTGTGCAACCTGTCTTCATCCTGTGCAAGCTGTCCTCATTCTGTGCAACCTGTCCTCATTCTGTGCAACCTGTCCTCATCTTGTGCAATCTGTCCTCATCCTGTGCAACCTGTCCTCATCCTGTGCAACCTGTCTTCATCCTGTGCAAGCTGTCCTCATCCTGTGCAACCTGTCCTCATCCTGTGCAGCCTGTCTTCATCCTGTGCAACCTGTCCTACAAAGAACGTCGCTCTTGAATGTGTTACGTAAGGCAAAAATTGTCGTGCTAGAAAATTGAAGCGGCTCGCGAAAGTGACATACTGTCCCGTTTTCTGTTTTGGGTCCTCTGGTAGGTTAGGATAAGGTCACTTTAAATTTACCGCTTTCTTGACGTTGGGAATTCGTAGGAGGACGGGTTGCAACCTGTGAGCGGTAGCGCAAAAAGGAATTACATCTGGCGCAAAAAATCTTTATCAGATCTCAACAGAGATTATTACATTAACAATAACATCTATCCCGCACACCTTATAATTTTACTGAAGATTGATTGAAGAAGATTAAGCCACCCAAAAGGTGGCACGGGCATGAATAGCCCGTAAGTGGTGGCCCTTTTGAGCCATTACCAGTATCAAGAGCTGATACTGGAGATCTGTGGAGGTGCGACTGTACCCTGCGTGACGGGAGATGTCTCCCGTGTAATTTTACTGTTGGGGGTAGAAATAGCCTAAGCTACTCTATCCCTTTGAGATGTATTTTTCTTGTCTCAATAAACATACTTGAACTAGAACCTCAATGTACACTACCTGCTTCTTAATCTCGTGTGTCACTTACCTACCGGAAGCGAAAGATGGATACAGTGCAAGGATTTCAGGTATTTTATCCTTAGTAATAAGATGGCTTGGCATTTCATACAGCGTGAGTTTTGATATATCTCTAAATGGCTCAAGTTATATTACAGTCTTAAGAAGTAATGCTCGAGAGTGTTCTCACCTAGTTGTGCTTGCGGGGGTTGAGCTTTGGCTCTTTGGTCCCGCCTTTGTGTGTCTATCTTTGTCCACACCCACACACACACACACACACACACACACACACACACACACACACACACACACACACACACACACACACACACACACACACACACACACACACACACACACACACACACACAATGTTTGCCGACGATGCAAACACAGCCACGATGACACACACAATGTTTGCAATGTTTGCCGACGATGCAAAAATTATGAGGAGGATTGAAACAGAGAATGATAGTAGGAGGCTACAAGATGACCTGGATAGACTGAGTGAATGGTCCAACAAATGGCTGTTGAAGTTCAACCCGAGTAAATGCAAAGTAATGAAACTAGGCAGTGGAAACAGGAGGCCAGGCACAGGATACAGAATAGGAGATGAAGTACTTAATGAAACAGACAGAGAGAAAGATCTAGGAGTTGATATCACACCAAACCTGTCTCCTGAAGCCCACATAAAGAGAATTACGTCTGCGGCATATGCGAGGCTGGCTAACATCAGAACGGCGTTCAGGAACCTGTGTAAGGAATCATTCAGAATCTTGTACACCACATATGTAAGACCAATCCTGGAGTATGCGGCCCCAGCATGGAGCCCGTACCTTGTCAAGCACAAGACGAAGCTGGAAAAAGTCCAAAGGTATGCTACTAGACTAGTCCCAGAACTAAGAGGCATGAGTTATGAGGAAAGGCTGCGGGAAATGCACCTCACGACACTGGAAGACAGAAGAGTAAGGGGGGACATGATCACAACCTACAAAATCCTCAGGGGAATCGACCGGGTAAACAAGGATGAACTATTCAACACTGGTGGGACGCGAACAAGGGGACACAGGTGGAAGCTGAGTACCCAAATGAGCCACAGAGACGTTAGAAAGAACTTTTTCAGTGTCAGAGTAGTTAGTAAATGGAATGCATTAGGAAGTGATGTGGTGGAGGCTGACTCCATACACAGTTTCAAATGTAGATATGATAGAGCCCAATAGGCTCAGGAATCTGTACACCAGTTGATTGACGGTTGAGAGGCGGGACCAAAGAGCCAGAGCTCAACCCCCGCAAGCACAATTAGGTGAGTACAATTAGGTGAGTACACACACACACACACACACACACACACACACACACACACACACACACACACACACACACACACACACACACACACACACACACACACAC